TGTCCTCACAGTGTGTCCTCACAGTCTCCCCACAGTGTGTCCTCACACTCTCCTCACACTCTCCTCACAGTCTCCCCACAGTGTGTCCTCACACTCTCCCCACAGTGTCCTCACACTCTCCCCACAGTGTGTCCTCACAGTCTCCTCACAGTGTGTCCTCACACTCTCCTCACACTCTCCTCACACTCTCCTCACAGTCTCCTCACAGTGTCTACTCTTCACACTCTCCCCATATGTCTTATAAAAATTGATCTTTGTCGAAATGAAAAGTTAAACATGTTCCTGGATAATATATAACACAGGAAGTTTTGAATTTTTTCCAAGGTAGCCATTTCAAAAGTTTTAAGAAACAAAATAAAAATATTCTTAGATAAACCCAACTAAGCTGGGTTGTTAAGATTATAAGAATTATAAAATTATAAGAATTTACCACTCATCAAAAACAGGGTTTCCAAATTTTATTCAGAAATGATTTATACATGAGGAAGGAAAAAAAAATAAGGGGAAAGAAAAATTTAAGTTTTCTGCCCTTCTTCCCTTGTTCACTCAAATCCTTTCCAACTTGAGTTGTCTTATGTTTATTCCATCTTCTCCCCATTTAAAGGAGATTGGAAGCTTCTTTTCATCCTATTATGTGACACTGATCTTGGGGAGACATACAAATGTCTACTCACATCACATAAGGAAATGCTGACAGACCAAATTAACATACTACCAAAGTCCAGGGTAGTTTACCAATGAGGTCATTGCTTTAACTCACAGGTGTGGCTGAGGTTCTGCTCACAGGAACAGGAGCCACAGGAAACAGCATCACGGCAGCTCACCCCAGCAGGGTGATAACTCACAGGAGCTGGAGCCCAGGAGCTTTCTGAGCATCTTGCAGACAGCTGGGTAATACGGAGACTCTTTCCTCAGCAGCCCTCACTGCCTATGGAACCTCGGGGAAAGAAGCCTTGTTCAGCTGGTACGTTTTGGAGACTTCCCGAGACTCTAGTTGTTTACTTCCTGTGTGAAGGAACCTCCTTTTTGGAATTTCCTGATTTCTTAGTGAGTTTGCTTCCAGGATGGAGTGTTTCATATTGGAGAAGCATGCTACTCAACAATTCCTATGTGAATTAATTTAAAATATAATAAATATATAAAACCCAAAGCCTTTGGAAGTTAAGGGCAACTGATTCTCTTACCAACTGATAAGAGAAAGAATATTTTGGTTTTCTTTAACTGGCTTACCAAATTATCCTCTGTACAAAGTCCCTCTATAACTGAGTGTTTCTTTCTTTTTCTGCTTTTTAAAGAAAGAAACCTATGCCTAATCCTGAAGTACTGACTTGATGCTTACTTTTCTGGAGCAGAGCACAAATTACTACAATCCTTTATTATATGCTTGCCTCTGCCAGCATGGCTAAGTACAATGTGGCATAGATGCGTTTCTTATGCGCGCGCGCGCACACACACACACACACACACACACGCCCATGGTTCTTCTCTGATGGAAATACAAGCTGCTTGTTCACTTTTTCACAGTTGTAGTCGACCATAGTAAACAAAATGCAATCTATTTTGCAAAGGCAAAATGAAGCAGAGGCTAAAACTTCGCCAGGATTCTGGGCTTGACCATATATTTATGTTTCAGGAATAAGTTTAAAACTATGTTTCATCATTTAAGAATTCCGGTAGAGACCTGGACACTATCACAAGTCCAGCTGAGACGGTGTTAGAGGCAGGTATGGAACATGGAAACCAGCAGGCTGACCTTACAAATCTTAAGCCAACAATCTGTCAGCGTGTTTCTGATATAAACATACTGATTAGAGCGAAGCCAGTAACAAAATCTTGAGTAAATAGGCGAGCCAGGAGTCTCGGAGGGACAGATGCGCTTGGTATGCGGCAGCGTGCCTGACCGCCGGTGGCTGGCTGACAGTGGAGGCGCTGAGCCCCAGGCGCCGCTCAGCCCCCAGGGTGGATATCTCAGTGGTTGGGATCTGGGGCTGAGGGCCTGGGGGTCCCTCAGGAGCGGCTGGTCTTTCCACTAGAGGTCTGAAGAGGCTGAGGCAGCAAGAGAGCAGATGGCAGAGCGCTGTGTTTGGAGAGCGTGCGCTTGCTCATGCGCACTCACGGAATGACGTGCTCTTAGTGGGGAGTAGTAGCCGGGACCGAGCACTGCCCTGAGAATAGCCTCACTCAGTCCTCGGTGTGTGTCGGTGCGGGCAGGTACGCGCTCATTTGTGCACAGAGGAAGTGCACCTAGAGGAGGGCGAACAAATGCCGACTAAGCGAGCGCTGCTGGAGGTCCTCTGGGCAGACCACTGCAGTCCTCACAGCCCGTGCCTTTGACCGGCACCTTACTGGCCCTGCTGTCAAATGCCCCTGTTGGGCTTGGGGCTGCAGACCTGGCTCAGAGAGAGAGTTTACCGCTCTCTCTCCCAGATGCCACACCAGGCCATTCACAAGGGCTGTTAACTCCAGCGGCAGGGGCTCTGATGCCCTCTTCTGGCCTCTTCGGGGAACTGCACAGGCATGGCTTTGCATACCCACAGATACACACAAACACATTCGCAAAGAAAAAGTTCCCCTCTGGCTTCCGGGGCAGACCACCTTGAGCATGGGCCTGGTGTGGCTCCTTGGTTAGACCCCAAAGTCAAACATGTATGCAGAGGGCAGAAGAAGCGCGTGAGACCAGAAGCAAGGAGATAAAGGGGACAAATGGACGTTAAACTAAACGTAAGGAGGGCACAGAGCTGGGGGCCAGTCAGCGATGGCAGCTCACAATGGCTTCCAGTGCCACCGCGGCCTTCCTTGTGGGGATCAGCGCTGTGAAGGGAGCTTTTCCCAAAGGGGTGAAGGAAAGGCATTCACCCAGAGGTCGCTGATTTGGGGTGAAGACATAGCACCAAGAAGTGGAAGTAATGAAGACAAACCTTCCCTACCTCATTCTTCATCAGCGCTTCCCCCAGATAGACAGGAAGTAATTGGCCGTTGGCTACCACTAAATAGAGACATAGATTTAAACTTTTTACGTGTGTGGTCATCCAGTGTAGAGTCAAATTAAGCAACCATATATCCCAGTTTGCAAAAAGGTGACAGAGAAGCCCTGGGACCTAATGAGCCATAGAGAGATGTGCATGTAAAGGTTCGTCACCTTCAGAGTGCTCCTGAGGTCACAGTGCTCTGGAGAGACAAGCCTCAGGAGTTGTGAGGAACGATGGAGGTGGCTTAGGTAGAAGAGCATGTGGAAGGCACCGCAGAACCAAATGAGCTTCTGAAAACGCGGGCCCTGTGTTAGGGTGTGTTAGATCAGGGCTCTGGTCAGCTATTAGCTGGGTGAGTGGACACACCACAAAGTGAAGACTCCTAAGGCCATGCCTGAGGCCTCCCCTGCCTGGCCATGGATGGACACACTGAGCCACTGATGTCTTGACCAGTTTCCACAGTAGCCTAAAGCTAGTCTGGACTACAGCTTAGCCTTAAAAGACCACTATTTAGAGTGTATTTCTCAGCTCAACATCAGTCTGCAATTGCTGATGGCTCTGCCATTACAATGTATGTATAGAATCTGAGAGAGAACATTGAAAAGTTTTGCAGCAATTTTTTAGTATAATTTTATACCTACCCTTTTTTAAAGTGACTAGCATTTTTTTGTGCTTTAAAATGAATCATTTTATTGTATTTTTCAAAAAAGTATTAATATGTAGAAAGACTGGGGTAGAAGAGAGTTGTCTGTTATCCTAGGTCAGTAGCTGAGGAGCCCTGGGCCAATTTCTAGCTGTCATTATCTCTCCTTTCAACAACTTACAGGGTTAGTACTCAAGATGTGTGACTACCTGGCCGTTTCTAGGATTCCTGTAAGTTAACGTTGGCTTCAGCCCCTGGCGATGGGCAAAGAGACACCTTGTTGGCATTGTCAGTCTTCTGTCAGTGAGGGAAAGAGCAGATGGCAGCCCGTTGTCCATCCTAGCTTGATGCCCGGCTTGATGGCCGAAGCTGTCTTATGCCTAGGACTCATAAAAATCAACTCAGAGCAAATCTAGGCGGCACAGGGTAGCAGCAGGAGAAAGACAGACAGAGACCTGCGGACAGACCTCCCCTTCAGTGCCTGGCATGGGTCAGTCATAAACCCAGCTTTGTCACCACACCACTCAGCACGAATGGATGATGTTGCCAGGGGCCCACCAGCCCCGTGGCCAGCCTGCAGCTGTAGCCACCAGTGTGTGAGTGTGAGTGGGTGGTCATATGGGAGAGAAAGAGAAGTGCAAAAGCCTGTTATGAGTGGCCAGCCGGGGCTGTGGTGAGGTCCCAGCCCAAGCTGCCACATAGGGCCATGTGTGAGTCTATGACTGAGATTACTGCATGGGAACATTCCTGGTCGAGGCAGCCTCAGGGGACCACAAGGATGTCTAGGGGCTGTGCATAGCTGGCCCCACCCCTCACCGGGTGCAGCTCTTGGGAGGCCCTGTGCCTCACCATGAGCTTGAGAGAGCTAGCCCTGTCTTTTACCACCAGCAGCATTTAGGAGAGGGCCCTGCACTTCACCAGAACAGCACAGCAGAGCTGACCCTGGTGGGTGGGGGTGCAGGTGAGCTTCCCCGACAGTATGAGCTCAGGAGAGCTGTCCCTGCCACTTATCTGCCCTGAGATGAAATGGGTGTGAGGGTGATGCCCTCCCCTTTGCCCTTGACACCTGCAGCAGTAAGGAGAACAGGAGAGCTGGCCCTGCCCCTCACTGGCTGCAGCACTACAGACAGCAGCTCTGCACCTCCCCAGGGCAGCACAGGGCACCATGAGTGAGCCAGTCCCGAGGGAAGGAGCACAGGAGAGCTGGCCCTGCCACCTGTATGGTGTGAGGTGGTATGGGTGCGAGGGTGATGCCCTCCCCTCCCCTCCAGCAGTAACCAGGAGAGCTGATTCTGGGGGCATGAGAGTGGCAGACCTATCTCTGCCCCTCACAGGCTGTAGCACTCAGGAGAGCAGGCCCTACAGCTGGCCTGGGCAATACAGTGGAGCTGGCCCTGATGGTGAAGACATGGGTGAGCCAGCCCAGGGGCATGAAATGACTGGGAGAGCTAGCCCAGTCCCCTCACAGGCTGAAGCACTTGAGAGAATGGGCCCCGAACCTTGACTGGGCAGTACAGGGAAGCTGGCTCTGGAGGCGTGGGTGCACGTGAGCTGTCCTGTGTTCTCCCATCCCGGGTGGCCCCTGCAGGGCATGAGAGCAGGCCACCTGACCCTGCTTCCTGCAGATGGCAGCCCTGGGTGGCCGGAGCAGTGCTGGAGGTGCAGGTAAGGGAGAGGCAGTGGGCTGACCAGCTCAGCTACCACCCAGGCCCAGATCCAGGGCTCTGAATTGGTCCACCCTAAACTTACATCATCTGCGAATGGTTGGGACATGTGAAAGGGCCAGTTCTGCTGTTCCAAAGCTCAGAATCTCCATGACACAGGGCAACAAAGAGGCAATGGGGTGGAGTCCTCAGGATCCAATACAGATGGTGTCACAGAGGCCAGCGATCTTGGACCAGACCAATGACTCACTGGAATGAACATGTTCAAGTGAAGACCTGGACAGGGGGTTATGTTGTGGGACACACTGTGACATACTACAGCTGCCACGGTGAGATGTTTTCTATGCTTTTGCGCTGTTGTTTGTTTCTGTGTTTTATTTGGTGGGGGAGGTAGCAAAGGCAAAGAGTGGATATGATATGAGGGTTGGGGAGATGAGCAGGACTGGGGTGCATGATGCAAAACTCACAAAGAATCAGAAGAAGGTTTTAAAAATTGCCTTCAGAACGGATAAGTAAATCCAGGTCTAGTCACAAGTGTGCAGCTCAGTCCCGAGACAGCGGGGCCAGGGTCTCTCTGCATCAGGTGTCTAGGAACAGAGCCCCAGCAACCAAGACCTTACCCTGACTCTTCCACAGAGAACTGGCAGGGTTTGGGGTGAGGATGACTCTTTGAGATGAGGTAAAATGGGGCTAATTATTTTTATAAGGAGACGCTGGGAATGACTTGGGCATGGGTCATGCCTAGTGCAGGCGCATGGGCTCGCTAACTAGTTGTTAATATTATCACAACTGATTGTTTTTTTCATAGCGCTGCTAGGGAAGGCACTGAGGAAAGACCAAGACTTATGGACTCGAGTTGCTGTGACCCACATGGTTGGGGGGCAAGGAAGGAAGGAGAAAAGGACAGACAGACATACGTAAAGAGAAGCTGGGATGGGCTAGGCTGTGTGCTCTGATGAAGACACAGCAGCAATGTTTATTAGGTCCTACGGAGCGAGAGGCAGGTTTACATCTTGGCAGGGGTCTGAGCAGCTTGGGTCAGTCGGTTGGAAGAGGAAGCTATGGTTAACAGGTCACACATACACTCAAAGGCAAGGCTGGCTCACATCCATACTTGAACCAGAAGAAGGCTTTGCGGTTTCCACGTGTCTGAAGCACTAGGCTCCTTACCATGGCCGTGCTCAGGTCAACAGAACACACTCGCTTAGGACTTCACTGACCACCATCTTCAGCAGATGGGCGCGGCACAGTGTTCAGTCTTCGGCGCTCTGACCTGTGGCTGGCACATCTCAGTGCTTCCTGGTTTTAACCTCACAGTCGTCATTCAGGGTGGAACTGCACATCAGAAGCCTATGATTCCACCGCTACGGCGTCGGGGTGAAGCAGACGCTGGACCACACTTCCAGAAGCTCTGCTGTGAACAGGTGAGTCACTTGCACACAGGGGAAGACACGCCCCTAGAGTACAGAATGCTATCCAGTCCCCAGAGTTTCTGGCTTAGTACGTCCTGGGCGTCACCTTGAAACTGCTTTCCTGGTCACAGCGTTGAGCATCCTGAGGAGCAGCTTCCACAGGCTTGGGACACACACAAAAGAACCGATAGCCTGGTACTCTGAAACAGAAATCGTGGCTTCTTCTTCGTCATCTGTTTGCTTGCTTGCTTGCTTGCTTGCTTACTTATTTGATTTTTGAGACAGGGTCATTTAACCCAGGCTGACGTCAAATTCCTGTCTTCCTGTAATCATGTCCCAAATGCTGGAATTACAGGAAGGTTCTACTACCATGCCAGACCCAGCCTCCTTACTGATCTTAAGTAAATTATATGATTTGCTTTAGTTTCATTGTCTAAATTTTTTTTAAAATAAACTACATTTGCAAACTCTTGCATGAGTCACTTATGTCACTGCTGTGCCAAAACTCAAAGAACCAACTCAAAGGAGGAATTGTTTTGGCTTGTTTCAGAAAGCAGTACACTACAGTAGGGACAGCATGGCGATGGATAACGCTCTGTCCATTTCGGCAGAAGTATGAGGCAGCAGCTGACTGCTGTCAGGGAAGGAAGCAGAGAGCGCAGGGCGGAAGCAGGCAGGGGAGGACATGCTTTAGAGGCTGCCCTGATGACCTCCATCACCCGAGCATCCCTCCTCAGGGCTGTACATCTTCAAAACACTTCCGTCAGGGGCCCGAGCAGTCAAAACATGGAGGATATTTCATATTCAGGCAGGAACAGTTCTTGTCTAGTTCTAAAATCTTCCTGGTCCTATTGGCACTTTCTTTCCAAATAAACTAATGTGCCAGGCCATTGTAAAATTCACACAAACCTATTTTGACATTAATGTTTCTCTTGTCATTTCTGTGATTTTAAAAATTATTTTATTTTCATTGGCATCTATTTGTGTCTGTGCACAGCATGTGGGTAGGCGCCCGAGGGCCAGAAGAAGGCCTCTCTGCTAGTTCGTTCTTGCCATGTGGACATATAAAACAGAAATATCTGCAAAGAGGACATCTCACTTGAAGAACTGCTTCTATCAGATTGGCCCGAAGGCAAGTCTGTGGACATTGTCTTAGTGATTGATGTTGGTGGGGCCGTTGTTCGGGCGACACCACCCCTTGGAAGGTGAATGCTGGAATTACAGACATGCACTACACATAGCAGAGTGAGGCAAGCCAGACACCGAGTGCCCTGCTTGGGCTCTGCATTCAGAGCCAAGTCCCTCCTTTGACCTCCTTCCATGCTGGGCTGTAGACTAAGGGCTAAAATAGACCCTTCCCTCCCCAGTTGCTTTTGGTCATGGTGTCTTATCCCAGCACTAGAATGCAAACTAAGTCGGCCTCAGATCCCCAGAACTGGAGTTGCCGTCAGTCGTCAGTCGTCAGTTGTGAACCACCCAAAGTGGGCGCCGGGGGCTGAACTTGCATCCTCTGCGAGAACAGCAAGAAGGCACAACTGCAGAGCCTTCTGTCAGCCCCCTGGCTGTGTTTGTTTTTGTTTGATTGTTTTGCCAGGATGTCCTGGAGCTCGGAAGGGACTGGAACTCGCATCTGCAGCTTCCAAACACCGAGACTACAAGTGTGTGGGCCACATGCCCTGCTCACAGCCGTGTTTCCTTCTTCAAGGATGTGCTATGCCAGGCTCTTCCTTCTCTTGCTGTTTGCTGGGTAGCCTTGGCTGGCCTTCAGCTTCGTTCGGCCTTCTGGTGATCCTCCTGCCTCTGCCTCGGGCCTGTGCTGCCATTACTGTCTCGAGTGCTGCCTCATTCACTGTAACTATTCAGGCAACACAACCTGGCTGAGAACCACAAGAGGATTTTCTCATTTAGCCCTCACGACAAACACAGGAAATGGCTTCTGTGTGTGTGTGTGTGTGTGTGTGTGTGTGCGCGCGCGCGCGCATGAGTACATGCTTGTGCATGGTATGATGGGTTATGAAATCAGTTCTCTTCTCCCCTCTGTGCGTCTCATGGATTGTCTCAGGTTGTGGGGCTTCACCTGCCAAACAGGTGAAGATATTAACCTTCTCATTAGAGTCTGGTGTGTGGCGGTTGGAGCAGGTGACCTGCTTTCTGGGGAGTGGTGGCGAGGCTGAAGTCCCTGCCCACAGCTGAGCAATGCCAGAGCCAGCACTCAGCCTCTGCCGCCATGCAGAACTTTAAAAAGGGGAAAGCGAGATAACTGGGTACTTTGGGGTCAGCGTTTAGGATGTAGATAAGCCTGTTTTCCCAATTCTCT